TCCTCAGGAGGGTGAAATCAGGCTTCTCCTCGGAGGCTAGGATTTAATTTAAAGCTCTATCCCACATACTTTGGGCATATGGCCAGGAGGGTTAGGGTTAGGGTTAGGGTTAAGGTTAGGGTTAGTTGTTGGAACATCTGAATTGGTTTTCCTTCAATTTCTGAGTCCTTTCCCCCACAAGCACCTTTAGTGCAGCTTGGGCTTCTTATTTTAGTGGTTGTTTTTGCTATGAGCCGTCAAGTTGCCTGTGACTCATAACAATCCCATGTTCTGAAGCTTTGCCTGTCCTGAGCCAGCCTCACTGACTCTGACACAACTACCCCTATTGCTACAGTTACTGCGTCAATCCATCTCGTCTGGGATCTTCCTCTCCTGTGCTGTCCTTCCACCCTTCCACGCATGATGTCCTTCTCCAAGGAGAAGAAGTCCCTCCTGGCTACATGCCCCAAAAGTATGTGAGATGGAGCTTCAAAATCCTAGCCTCCAAAGGAGAAACTTAGTTTCACCCTCTCCAAGACGACCTATTTGTTTTCTTGGTAGTTCATGGTATGTTAAATATTCATCTCCGGCACCACAACTCAAAGGCATCAATTCTTCTTTTGTCATCCTTAGTCATTATTCAGCTATCTGATGCATAGCGAGTAATTGTGAAGACCATGGCCTGGATCAGGTGTACCTTAGTCTCTAGACTGGCATCGTTACTTTTCAGTACTCTGGAGAGGTCCAGAGTTTCCCAGTGTGTTTGTCTTTTGATTTCCTGACTGCTGGTGCCAAAAGTGTTGATTGTGGAGTCAAGCAAGCCGAAATTGTTAACAACCTCAATCACTTCTTCATCCATCATGGTGCTGCCAATTGGCCCAGTGGTGAGATCCTTTGTCTACTTTATGTTGAGCTTCAATCCATATTGAAGGCTGCAGTCCTTGACCTTCTGCAGCAAGTGCTTCAGGTCCTCCTCAGTTTCAGCGAGCAGGGTTGTGTTGTACCCAGCCAGGATCTATGGAGTGCCGTACACTGAGTACGAAATTATGAGTCCTTTATTAGCCAGCAGCCAAGGGCAAGCTCATGCTCCACAGGACCCTCGATGCCGGATGATTTCATACTCAAGCCTTAAAAAGGAAAAAACACAAACCGGCAAGTTACAGTTAGACTTTGTTCTAGAACATATTGACCTTACTCTAGAGAGCAAAAGCAACTTGAAGAAGCAGATAGCATCTTGAGAGACTCACACTCCACCCTGCCAGCAGGCAGCTGCCCACAGAGGCAGGAAATTCCCTGCCTTGTGGTTTCACTGAACACCTTGGTTTTCTCTCTCCGATCAACCAAGCAGCGTATTGAGCTACGCTAAATAACCTACTTACAGAGAGCAAGACATAATAAAGGAATTGACTCCTGGGCTAAGGTGAAGTTTGTTAAGCTAACACAAATACTTCAGTGTCATCTGTATAACGTAGGTTGTTGATGAGTCTTCCTCCAATCCTGATGCCACATTCCTCCTCATAAAGCCCAGCCTCCCAAATGATTTGTTCTGCATACAAACTGAAAAGGCATGGAGATAGAATGCATCCCTGATACACTCCTTTCCTGACTTTGAACCATGCAGTGCTATCCACCTGTTTGAGGACGGCTTTCTGTCCCAACTATAGGTTTTGCATGAGCATGCTCAAGTGTTCTGGGATTCCCATTCTCCTCAAGGCTAGCCACAATTTATTGTGATCCACACAGTCAAATACCTTTGCGTAGTCAATAATAGAGTTTTAGTACCATTAGTTTTTTTATCATTTTACTGCTGAGCGTTGATCAATTCTTTTTGGTAGAATGACTGTATTCCTTCCACTTTATTTTTGATGCTTCCTTTGCCATTCATATT